GTATGCTGAGCAAATAATCCAGGAAGCTGGGTTATAAGAAGAAAAGTGTGGCATCAGTATTGGAAGAAGACTCATTAACAACCTGTGATATGCAGATGATACAACCTTGCTTGCTGAAAATGAAGAGAACTTTGTATATTTACTGATGAAGATCAAAGAGCACAGTCTTCGGTATGGATTGCATCTCAATGTAAAGAAAACAAAAATCCTCATCACTGGACCAACAAACAACATTCTTATCAACGGAGAAAAGATTGAAGTTGTCAAGGACTTCATTCTTGTTGGATCAACTGTCAAACTCATGGAAGCAGCAGTCAAGAAATCAAACAACGTATTGCATTAAGTAAATCTGCTGCATAAGACCTTTTTAAAGTGTTGAAGAGCAAAGATGTCAGCTTGAGGACTAAGGTGCACCTGGCCCAAGCCATGGTATATTCAATAACCTCATATGCATGTGAAAGTTGGACAGTGAATAAGGAAGACCATAGGAGAATTGATGCTTTTGAGTTATGGTGTTGGAGGAGAATGCTACAAGTGCCATGGGCTGCCAAAAGAACCAACAGATCCATTTTAGAAGAAGTACCGTCAGAGTGCTCCTTAGAGGCCAGGATGGCCAAACTTTGTCTCTCATACTTCGGACATATTATCAGGAGGGACCAGGTACTGGAGAAGGATATCATGTTTGGTAAGGTGGAGGGTCAGAGAAAAAGAGGGAAACCCCCAATGAGATGGATTGGGCCAGAAGCAGCATTGATGAACTCAAGCCTGGCAATAGTAGTGAGGTTGGCCCAGGATCAGGCAGTGTTTCATTCTGCTGTGCATAAGGTCACTGTGAGTCGGTGCTGACTTGATGGCACCTAACAACAACAACAACAACATTGATGTGCATTTATGCTGTGTCCATATATTTGCTATTGTGAATAGTGCTGTAATGAACAATGTTGTTGTTGTTGTTAAGTGCCATCGGTTCCGACCCATAGCGACCCTGTACAGGGTTTCCGAGGGTGTAAATCCTTACAGGAGTAGAAAGCCTCATCTTTCTCCCACGGAGCGGCTGGTAGTTTTGAACCGCTGACCTCAAGGTTCGCAGCCCGATTCGTAACCACTATGCTACCAGAGCAATGGTGAGAGCTTAATCTTCTGGGTTCCCCTTTGTAGTTATCTTTTTAAATTTTGTAACTGCTCTCAGTATTCTTTTCCTGTCTTTGATTTTGGATGGTTTGATTATGACATGTCTTGGTGGTTTTCTTTTGTTTTCTATCTAGTTTGGTGTTTGTTTAGCTTCTTGAATGCTTATCTTCTTGTCATTCATGACATTAGGGAAGTTTTCTTCCAACAGCTCTTTGACTATTTATTTATTTATTTTTTAAATATGCTTTTCTTTGTCTCTTCCTTTTCTGCAATTTTGGTCACCTGTAGATTCTTCCTCTTCATGGCATCCCACATGATTCTTAGGCTTTTTTTATACTTTTTTCATTATTTTTTTTCGATTGTTCTTCTTGCTTACTAGTATTGACAGACGTATCTTTAAGGTCATTAATTTGAGCTTCCATTGATTGAAATCTACTCTTTTGTCCTTTCTATGGATTGTCCATTTCTGAAATCTTAGTATTAATCTTCTAGTTTTCTACTTTCAGGTTTTGTATGATCTCCGGTCCTTTTCTATTTTGTTTGTTACTATAACATTTTCCTGAATTCTTGTTTGTTTTCCGTGACCTTTTCATCAATCACTTGGAGGTACTGAAATATCATTCTCTTGAATTATATTTCATGTAGTTCCAATGCCTTTTTTAAAATTCAAAAACATTTTCTTTCTTCCTCTTGGTCACTTGTTTGAGCTGCTTCAGTGTTGTTTCTTGTGTGAACAAAAATGGTCTGTTGCTTCTGAAGCAACCTTAGAGTTCAACTTACTTTGCGTTCCAAACTGACCTTGTGGTCCTGTACATTATCTGGCAGAGCCACACCAGGATGCACACTTGGTTTCTGAAGTATCTGGTTAAACTATACATAATGTCTAAATAAATGCAGTCATAATGTCATATTTGCACCTATCATAAAGTCATGAACACACCAAGGAAGTTAAAAACCCAGCAGTACAGTTTACATTAACTCTCAAGGCCTGAAAATAATCCCCTATTCTGAGACCCTGACCTCTAGATTCTGGGTGTTGGTCACACACTCTGGGTTCTAGGTAGAAGCCCCTCAATATTGGACTTAAGCTCTGCCCTCCAGGCCTACTGGAATGACAACTCTGCTCCCTCACCTTTGGGCAGAGACCCCATCTTAATAGCAGCACCACCCTTTGGAATCGAGTTGGTGAGCAAGTCAGCTCCTTGAAACTTAGGAAACGGTGGCCCCATCCTTAGAAACGCCAAAGGTCATTGTTCTACACTTTGAGATTGAGGCAGCTTGCAGCTCTCACTTGTCTCTTCAGATTCTGCTTTCTGGTTCTTTGATCCCCAGACCAGGCCAACTTAGTCTCTGCTCTGCTCAAGCAGGTGTCACAAACTTCTTCCGTTCTACTGATAAATGCCCAGAGACACCCACCCCACCAGTAAGTCTTGACTGGAAGGCACTTAGCTTTCTTGCTAAATGTTGTCTGTTTTGGGCACCCAACCCAGAACTAGTTCTTGCAGACCCCCAAACAGCTGGGGGATCAGGCTATTTCCATTCCAGAGGGAAATCAAGGGTAAGAGGTCCTGGTAATCCAGGGCTGGCCATAGCCAGCTCTTTAGGTGTGGAGCAGACCACACCTGACTCTACGTACCTGATTTGGGGCCGCTAGTTCTCTTCTCACTTTGATGCAGCTCGGCCCACCTTGAGAGCAGAAGCGTCACTGGGAGGATCATACACGGGTGGGGGCTGGCCACACCTATGGTCACCAGGGTATTATGGGGTTGTTGTTGTTGTTGTTATGTGCCTGGAGTAGGTTCCGACTCATAGCGACCCTATACAGGGTTTCCGAGGCTGTAAATCTTTATGGGAGCAGAAAGCCTCATCTTTCTCCCGTGGAACAGCTGGTAGTTTCGAATTGCTGACCGTGAGGTTCACAGCCTGATTCATAACCACTATGCTACCAGAGGTACAAGAAAATAAAAACATTGCACATTTCTCTCTGTCAATAAGCAGTATGCCTCAGTACCGCCAGCCACCCTCTTTTCTTCACAGTCGCCTACAAAAGTTCAAGATGGCTGCTGGCATCGATTGTCTACCTCCATTCTCTCTCCCTCCTCCCCTCCAAAGCATCTGTTTAGCTACTTCTCCTATGTAAGGCTAATCCAGGCTTGGTCCCAGCAGCCTTTGCAAGTTTGGAGCATGGCTCACCTGAATCCAGACCCCAGGGTTAATTCGGGTAGCTCCCCATTCACTCTGATGGGGCTCACAACTGTAGCACTCACCTCTGTGTGGCTCTGTCCACTGGTAGAGTGGGAGATTTGTGGAGTATGTACATGGGTGGGGGCTGCCATGCTTCTGGTCAGCAGGGGATTGTGGAGAAGAAGGAAAACAACTGCACTTTTTTTTTTTTTATGATTCACAAGTATGTTTCTGTAATGCCAATATGCTGTCTTATTTCTGAAGTCACTCACCAAAGCTTAAGTTGGCTCTGCCATGTTTGGTCAACTGGCGCAAGTCAGTTATCTTTATTGGCTGCCAGATACTTTCTTTCCTAGTAAGCATTCAATGCACTTCTCTACCCCTTCATCTGAAACTCAGGGTTTCTGGACTATCATCTGCATGTTCCATTTGATTTTCCATATCTTTATTGTAGAGGATCTGTACAGCATTTCTGCCTAGTCTGACATCTTGCTTCCTTCTTTTATTTCCATTGAAAAGAATTGAAAGCTTTTTGGAATTTATTTCTCTTAATACTTTGTCAAATCCACCTATGACAGCCAATACTCATTAGCGTTCTATTTTCCAACCTCTTTCTTTATAGAGAGAAGGACAGGGACTAACTTTTCAGCTTAGAGTGGAAATTTCACTCAAATTTTTCTGTGACATGGACTGAGCCTCTAGCCAGCCACCCTGCTAAATGGTTAACTGCTAAGGCAATGACACATAGTTTTTATTTCTGTTTCAACAGCATCCTGCTTTACAGATCAATTTCTATATTAATCATAACTGCCTTGATTAGTATCACAAGTGGGTAGCTTTAAAGAATAGAAATTTATTTTCTCATCATTCTCAAGGCTTAAAGTCCAAATCAGGGTATTCATCCTCTTAGGTGTCTTGAGCATTCCTTGGTTCATTGCTTGTAGATGATCCTCAGGTGGCATTCGTTCTACCCATTCTCTCCTTTGTGTGTGTATCTCTCTATAACTCAGAGGTGATTCGATTTAGAAACAACTCTTCTAATTAATACAACAAAGAAAACTCTATTTCCAAATAATATCAGAGAAACAGGGGTGAGGATTTCAATACATATTTGGGGGTGCAGAATTCAATTTCTAGCAATGATTGATGAAAGCTGTTACAATAGGCACAGTGAGAAATCTCAGTGGCTTACTAAACAAAGTAAGTAAGCTTGCATTATTTATATCAGCTCATGTTACAGTCTGATGTGGGTGCGGTTTCATCTGAGGCTCCCCCTAAAGGACACTCTGGGCTCAGGCTACTGGCTTGGGCAACTCCAGTGGATCAGAAGTTACTGGCTCTTGACTGCCTTGGCCTGGGAATGACATTTACTTCATGATTCAGAGAGTGCTGGGCTCTACCTGCTGTTCTCTCTGCTGAAGATCTCTGCAGAGCTTGTTCTCAGATACCTGCTCCAGCACACTGATCTAGCTGCTGTATTGTTCCTTAGAGCAAGTAGGAGGCAGGAGGACTGTGGTCTTGCATTCAAGTCCATATCTCTCATGAATCATATTTGAGGTGAGAACATTCTGTAGAAGAGTGTGTTGGTTGTATACCATAAGCCAGCTTAGGCCATTTCTTACTTACTCATGAGAAATCAGACCTGTTTCTTACTCCTTCTTTGTCCTCCTTCTGTTGTGAGTCAGCAAGTGACAAGCACATCCAGTGGCTCCTAGGGGCAGATGGCGAGGTCTGGGTCTGGATCATGGGAGAGGCGCCCGGTGACAAGCCCTATGAGGAGATCTCCGAGGAGCTGATCACAGAGCGCGCGTGGCTGCAGGCACAGAGGGAGGCCAAGGAGCTCTGGTAAGAGGTTCTGGGTGGGCCTGAGCCTTGGGACAAAGCCCTGCTGAGGACAGTAGCTTGTGGGTGGGAGGGAGTGGTGCCAAGTAGCTGGCTGGTTATTTTGAGTTTTGACCAAGACATCATAGCCTTACATAAGGTAGGTAGACCTGAAGGTTCAAATCCTTGCTCTACCTATTATAGCTGATCTGGACCTCAGTTTTCACATCTGTGGTATGGGCATGTTGTTATTAAATGCCACAGTGAGTATTTATGTGATACATGTGTTGTAATCCGCTTAAATTCCACCTTAACATATTGACTAATATAGATCCACAGTGTTCCTGGAGGATGTGCTCCATTTTATGAGAAACTTACCTTATTAATGTCTACCATTAATAGACATTTGAATTGTTAATTTATTTTGTTGTTATAAAAGTTCTCTGATGAACATCACTTATATATACCTTGCAAACTTGAGTGAAAAAATGGAATTTTTCAGTCTTGTTTTCCTGGCTTCCAGAATGATTGTGCTGATTTGCACTCCCATATGCAAGACTGTCATCCATTTCTCCAAACCTTTGGCAACCTTGAATTTCATTGACCTTAAATATTTGCCATCACAATAGACCAGAAAAAACTTGCTTGTTGTTTTTATTTGAAGCTCTATTTTCCCATGGTCCTTCAGTTGTTGACATGAGCTTATGCTTGCTGGTACTCTCTTGGAAGGAGACAGAAAGAGGCAGAGATCACTAAGAAATTCCGGGATGCGCTGGCCAATGAGAAGGCTCGGATCCTGGCCGAGAAGTGGAAAGAAGAGATGGAAGACCGCAAAGCTACCAAAGTTCTGGAGGAGCGGATCCATGAGGAGTTCAAGGTGAGCCAGTGGACGGGGCACTGTGTGCGGACATGTATTCTAGCTCCAAAGGCCATTGAGACTGACCTTTGTTCTTGGATGCTGGTCAGCACAGGGTGCTCTTTGGAGTTCCTTTCATGAGAACAGAAATGTGGCATATCTGAGCAGGAAGAAATGTGACACACTATTTAGGCCAATCTACTTCTCACTTTGCTGGTGTGGTGTTATGGGATAATGCACTGGACCTCAAGGTCAGTTTGCACTGCAAGGTTGTAGTTCAAATTCACCAGTTGCTCCTCAGAAACCCTATACAGTGTCGCTATGAGTCAGAACCAACTTGATGATATTTAACTACAGCAACTTCTCGTGCTAGACGTTGGAAGAGATTTGTAAAGGCCACAGATTGCAGTGATTGGGGTCAGAGCACAGAATCAGAACTTAGGTCTTCTGCATCACAAACCAAGAGTTCTAAATGTGACTTGGAAAGAGATGGATTTTTGGTCAGTCAGGCCTGGGATCCAGTTCCAACTCTACTGCTTACTGCTGTGTGATTTTGGGAAACATGTTGAACTTCTCTGAGTCTTAGTTGTTTTATTTGTAATATTGTTCTTGCTGTTGTTAGGTGCTGTTGGGTTGGTTGTGAGTCATAGTGACTCTATGTAGCACTGAACAAAACCCTGACTGTTTTTTGTGTCATCTTCACAATCTTTCCTATTTGTGTCCAATCTATTTTCGTGAGGGTCTTCTTCTGTTTTGCTGGCCCTCCACTTTACCAAGCATGATCTTCTCCAGGAACTGATCCCTCCTGACAATATATGCAAAGTGCATGAGAAAACGTCTCATCTTTCTCACTTCTGAGAATTCTGGCTGTATTTCTTCCAAGACAGATTTGCTCATTTTCCTGTCAGTTGTCACTGGTATATTCAGTATATTTTTGCCAACACTATTAATTAGATTCATCAGTTTGTCTCTGGTTTTCATTATTCCTCGTTCAGTTTTCAAATGGCTTTGAGGTGATTGAAAATACCATGGCTTGGGTTAAGTGCACCTTAGTCTGCAAAAAGAAATCTTTCAAGAGGTCTAGTGCAGCAGATTTGACGAGTGCAATATGACATTTGATTTCTTGACTTCTGCTTATTTGATAATTTAATGTGGATTCAAGTAAAGTGAAATCATTGACAGCTTCAATCCTTTTTCCATTACCATTATTTTGTTTATTGGTCCAGGTGCCGGGATTTTTGTTTTGCTCATGCTGAGGTGTACTCCATACTGAAGGTTATAGTTTTAATCTTCATCAATAAAGACTTCAAGTTCTCTTTGCTTTCAGCGGTGTCACTTGCATATCAAAGGTGGTTAATAAGCCTTCCTTCAGTCCTCATGCTGAATTCTTCTTCATATAGCTAGTTTCAGATTTAATAAGTAAGGTAAAAGGATACAACACTGACATACACGTTTGCTGATTTTAAACCATTCAGTATCCCTTGTTCTGTTCGAATGATTGCCTTTTGGTCTATGTACAAGTTCCACACAAGCACATTTAATTGTTCTGGAATAATTTCCATTCTTTGTAATGTTATCCATAGTTTATTATGATCCATACATAGTCAATAAAACAGAAGTAAACATCTTTCTGGTATTCTCTACTTCAGAGAAGAGAAGATCCACCTGACCACAGTAATGATAGCCCTTGTTTCACGTCCTCTTCTGACTCCAGCTTGAATTTCTGGCAGCTCCCTGTTGATGTACTACTGCAACCATTTTTTTTTGTTGTTGTTAATTAAAAAAAATTTTTTTTCTGCAACCATTTTTGAATGATCTTTATTAAAAACATTTTACTTGAGTGTGATATTGATATTGTTTGATAATTTTTACATTACATTGGGTCACCTTTCCTTGGAATGGGCAGCAAGAGGATCTCTTCTAATCAGTTAGCCAAGTAACTGTCTCCCAAATTTCTTGCTATAAACTAGTCAGTGCTTCTACTGCTGCATTAATTTATTGAAACATTTCCTTTACTATTTTGTCCAGTCCTGGAGCTTTTTTTCTCCAATACCTTCAGTGGAGCTTGAGTTTCTTTCAATACTGTCATTGATCATAATAAGCTGCCTTTTGAGATGGTTGACTGTCGACCAATTAATTTTGGTGCAGTGCTTGTGTGTATTTATTTCTTCCACCTTCTTTTGATGTTCTCTGCATTGTTCAATGAAAGAGCCCTGGTGGCCCTATAAGATAAGCACTGGATTACTAACTGTAAGGTCAGCAGTTCAAATCCACCAGCCACTCCTTGGGACAAAGATGAGACTTTCTGCTCTCATAGTGATTTACAGCCTTGGAACTCCTATACAGGGTGGTTAGGAGTTGGAGTCAAGTTGATGCCAGTTGGTTTGGTTTTTGGTTCTTTTGCCCATGGAACCCTTTAATATTGCAAATTGAGGCTTAATTTATTTCTTCAGTTCTTTCACCTTGAGAAATGTTGATTGTGTTCTTCTCTTTTGGTTTTCCAAATCCAGATCTTTGCACATTTCATTATAATATTTTACTTTGTTTTCTTGAGCTGTCCTTTGAAAATTTTCTGTTCAGTTTTACTTTATTGTTTCTTCCAGTTGCTTTAGTTTCTCTATGTTTAAGAGCAAGTTTCAAAGTTTCTTCTGACATTCATTTTGTTTTTTTTCTTTCTTTCCTGTCTTTTTAATGACACTTTTTTTGGGGTGGGGGGAGAAAAATAAAGTGGTTTGCTACTGTAAAAATTTACAGTCTGGGAAACCCCAACATTGAAGCAGTTCTACTCAGTCCTATAGGTTTGCTGAGTTGAAATCAACTAGATGGCAATAGATTTTACTTTCTTCATGCATGATGTTCTTGATGTCATCCCACAATTTGTCTGGTCTTCAGTCATTAGTGTTCAGTAAGTCAAATCTATTATTGAGATGGTCTGTAAATTTAGGTGGGATATACTTAAGGTTGTATTTTGGCTCTCATGGACTTGATTTAATTTTCTTCATCTTCAATTTGCACTTTGCATATTAGGAACAGTTGGCTCCTGGCCTTGTTTTGGCTAATGATGTTGAGTTTACCTGTTTTTTTCTTCTACAGATGTACTCAATTTAATTCCTGTTTATTTCAGAAAGTGAGGTGCACATGTACTCATATTTGTTGTTGTTGTTAAGTGCCGTTGAGTTGGTTCTGACTCATAGTGTCCCTACAAGGGGTTTCTGAACAGCACCAGGTGGGTTTGAACCGATGACCTTCCAGTTGAAAGTACAGCACTTATCTTCAACGCTATGTTGTTGAAAAAAAAAAAACTATTTAGAGTGAATTAGTCGTGCTCTTGCAAAATTGTATAATGAGATTTCCAGCATTGTTTCTATAACCAAGCCATGTTTTCTGTCAATCCTTCCTCTTTGATTCCAACTTTCACATTCTAATTACCAGTAATTATAAGTGCATCTCAAAATGAAGAACAGCTATAACATCCATTGAAAATCAGAACATTGAATGTACGAAATATGAAGCTAGGAAAATTAGAAATTGTCAAAAATGAAATGGAACGCATAAACATCAATATCTTAGGTATTAGTGAGCTGAAATGGAATGGTATTGGCCATGTTGAATCTCACAATCACATGGTTTACTATGCTGG